ACATCACAAATTCCTGGAACACCTGAGATATAGGTAGGAAGAAAGGAAAAATGATGCAGAAAAAGGCAAAAAGAGAAAGAGTGAGAGCACAAACTTACAAAATAAAAAGAGCATGCACTAAAAAGGATGGTAAGAAGTCACGTGAAGAAGAGATACTGCAAGGAACAAATAATTCCATGTATACTAAGATTCTGTCATGGGACCCGTCCCTCTAAGAAGAAAATATTGTTGTTGGTTCTACACTTGAAAATGAAAGTCATCATAATATGGCTTTCACACACTTTAGCCAGAGAGGAAAGCACAGACAAAGGCATTCTAATATAAGATACACATTTTTTAAATGAATACAATAGGCTGAAGAGTTGCCTCTGAACTAAGGGTGACATGGCCTAGAGCCAGCACTAACTGGCTCATGGCCTTGGTCAACTGTGTGTGGTTTTTCGGTTGCCTCAAGAATTCTCCATTGATGAGCCAGGCCACTGGTAACTGGTTCCAAAGATATGGTAGAATAAATTGAAAGTATTTCACTGCTAACCTTTGGTTTCCTGACTAATGATCAATCCTATGATCTTAAATTCTAAACCTCACTTAATTGAACTGGTTTAATAAGAAACATCTTGCCTTACTATGGAAAATAATACAGAAGTTTCTCTGTGTCGCTCAATTATGGCATGTTTAATTCCTTGCGAATTTCATGTAAAAGCTTCATGAAAAAGTCCAAAATAAATAGACTTGCTCAGATACAAAGGATAAAATAAACGTTAGGGACTGGGTCAGTGGTTCTCTGCATTTGTAACAATTTAGAATCACCCGGGGAACATGAATAAGAACTGATTTCTGGGCTTCAGACAAATTATAGCAAACATTCTGGGGGTTGGACTAGGGCATAAGTGTTCTTTAAAAGCTTCTCAAATGGTTGTAATATGCAACCTGGATAGAGAACCACCAGCCTCTCTATTTATTTATGAGAAAGCAGTAGGTTGGTAGAAGGCAATTTTTCCATATGTGGGGATACAAGCTCGAATTATACAAGGTGCCACTTGTGTGGTTTTGGGCAAGTGAATCAGCCTTTTCATGCTTCATTTTCCTTGCCCTTAAAATGAAAGATAAATATCTTCCCTCGGAGGCCCCTCTGGGGTTGTTTGAGGGTCAAAACTCATAGTGTGGCTGGCACGTGGTAAGCATGCAATAAGCCAGGACTCCCTCCCACTCTGGGGCACTTTCTTTCTCATTCTGCTGTTGATCTGATATAAGCCTTCACCAGCTAAATTATTTCTTTCCTCCATTTTACCAAACACTGCTGTCTGATAAAAAGGAAATGGTGGTTATTAATTAATAGGGATAGTGTAAACTAAGTATTTGCAAATTTTGTCACTCCAGAATAAAGATTTAATATACTTATTAGCAATAATCTAAAAAAAGTCTTGATTACCTACCATATATCCGTAGAACACTTACTCTTAAAGTGGTAATACTCACATGAAAATAGACCTCTCATAACCCAAGTGAATTCTTTCATACAAAGGACCACGTTAGAAACCAGAACTTGTAATTCCTAATCTCTTAAACGCTTTTTTGTTCTTTTCTTCACTCATGTCAGTTTGACAGAGGATCATTTGGAATGTCAAATATTTTAAAGAACACCTAAAACTGTCAGAAAGACATCATGAAAAAGAAAACTATACAAACTAGTTAAGAGGGAGCACTGTGGACATGTGGGCCTGAGCTTTGAGTTTGCTGGGCATAAACAATGGATAGCACCATCTGAGAATAATAAAAACCCGGAGTCACTATGTCTCTTGCATACTTCTTAATTCTGCCATTGCCACAACCACCTTGTTGCACTATTTCTCTCACTCGGGGTTTGTTTCAGGAAATGCTCCTTAAGCAATCAAACCATGCAATGGCACACATATGCCATGTGGACCATAATTTCACTACCAATTCTCATTATTGAAAATAGATGCTACATATCCATAGAACCATCTCCAGTGAAATTTTTTAATCATTGAGTAAAAATATCCAGTAGCATACTTTGTTCTTTTGATACAGGCTAGAAAATCTTTCTCAGGCTTTGACATTCTCTCTTTATTGGGGGGCAGGCTGTGGAAATAGGCAAGGGGTTGGTGCTGACTGCTAACATTTTGCTATTAGCTCCTTCCTCTCTTCCACAAGATATATGGATTTTAAGAGTTTTACCAGTATCTGGAGCCCTAAAGATATTAAGTGTGATCATTATTCTGCTCAACTACCAAACATAATTTTATATTAACCAGTACAAGCAAAACCAATTGAGATATTTAGAGGATTTCAAAAATTAAATGTCTGCTACACATTCATTCACGCCCTTCATGCGTTTATTTACTCATTTGATATGCAATGATTAAGTATAAACAATGTATGAGGTAGCAGAGAGGAAGATATAAATAAGACATAATCCCTGCCTCAAGGAGTTTACAGTCTAGAACAGGATTTGTCAACCTCAGCATTACCGAATTTTGGGGCCAGATAACTCTTTGTTGTGGTAGAATGTCCTGCACATTGTAGAATATTTAGCATCACCCCAGCTTCAACCCATGAGATGCTGGTAGCAGCCCACCCACCCCCACTCAGGGTTACGACAATAGAAAATGTCTCCAGAAGACGTTACCAGATGTCCTCTGGAGCCAAAACCACCTCCAGGTGAGGACTACTGGTTTAGAGGGAGGAAACGGAAATTTGAAAGAGCAACAAATGACATAGGTACAATAATAGAAAAATGCATAAGGTAAAATAAAAGCAAAAAAGAACAGGAAATGTCAGAAAATGCTTTGAGTAGAAAAAGAGATGAGGAGTATGATCACAGACCTTGTTTCTGACTAAACATGCTTGCTATTGCTGTTGCAAAATGACTCCAGGCTGGAGAGAGGGGCATCATGTGAGGAGGTCTCTTCTTAGAACCCCAAATGGGACCTTTTCTTATCCTTTTTACCCTTCCCTCAATTGAAAGAGATAGTTTTCAAATATCTCTTTCAATTTGTCTCCCCTCTGGATGAAACTCTTCTAATGCAACACCCTCTCTTTCAAAATCTACAGGCTAATGCAGATTATCACCAGCATGGTTAAGCAGAAGGAAGATCTGAGGCAGCACTCTGCTTCTGCATGGCAGGAGGGTGGCTCAGAAGTCCTAGTGTGCTGTGCAGAGGTTCCCAAAAGGTCGAAAAGTAAGAGCTGGTGGGACTGCAGTGGGGGCTCAGCATGCGGCTGATGCTCAGAGGAGTCTGCAGAGCCTCCAAGAGCCAGGCGTATCAAGTCAGCAAGAAAGGACCATTGTGGGGGCCTTTGCAAGGAGGCACAGGGAACAGGGAAGAAGTCTGAAAGACTAGACATAAACTTAAAAAAAATCAAATGACATCTAAAAATGCATTAGAAAACGAAATTACATTAAAGCATTTAGAATGTCTCACCAGAGGAGGAATCACTGAGGAGCACATTATCAATTATAGAAAATGAATACACTCCATATTCTTTATCCATCTGCATTTTGGTGCAAAGACTTTCTATTTCACTACATAATAACTTCAGAATCGGAAATACAAAGTTCTGTAGGAGAGCACAGAAAAGTGGTTTAAAGAAGTCTGAATACTCACGAAGACCCAGATGAAAACATAATTTTGAACAGAGATTGAATAATGAATAGGAAGTCACCTGTGGAAGATAGAGAGGACACGGGAGAGAGGAGGAATGTTCTGGGAACAGATGTAAGAAGCCAGAGATTTGAGGGAGAATCAAGTGAGTTTGAGAACTAGAATTTACAAATACAATGTTTCTAAGATAAAGAGGGACATAACAGTCCATATTTATTCAGGATACACTGTATTCCAGGCACTATGCTAAATACATTTTTTTAATTTATTTTGCAATTACAGTTGACATACAATACCATATTAGTTGTCAGTGTACAACATAGTGCTAAGACATTTATATACCTTACGAAGTGATCATGCCAATAAGTCTGGTACTCATCTGACACCACAGTTATTACAATGTTACTGACTACATTCCCTATGCCGTACCTTACATTCCCATGATTCTTTTAATAATTGGCAATTTGTACTCTTCAATCCCTTTCACCTTTTTTCACCCATTCCTCCAACCTCCTTCTCACCTGGCGACCACCAATGGATAAAGAAGGTGTGGTACATATATACAAGGGGATAGCTCAGTCATAAAATGAATAAAATCTTACCATTTGTGACAACATGAATGGACCTAGAGGGTATCATGCTAAGTGAAACAAGTCAGACAGAGAAAGACAAATATCATGTGATTTTACTTATATATGAAAGCTAAATTCTTTACAGATATTATCTTGATTAATTTTAATAGCAAATCAATGAGATTATAGTTTCCCCTTCATGTACCTATCATCATCATCATCATCATCTTCATCACACCATCAGATTTGTGTTTTAGAATGTTTCATGTACAAGAAATGAGTGGATGGATTAAGAAAAAAACAATTAAGAAGCTTGCTGCTAGTGCACAGTAGGAGATAAGACTTCAGACTAAGTCATTAGTAAATAGAATTGAAAGGAAAGAACGATTCATGAGAAATGTTAATGGTAGAGCTGAGAAAGACTGATGCAACCAAGTGACTTTTCGAGTTCAAAAGAGAGAGGAATTGAATATAAGGGCTAAGCTTTGACCATGGAGAACAAGTAGCAAAGTACTGCCACCACGAGATGGATCACTGGGAGGCGGAAAGGGAAAACAGTGAAATGGGGAGCTAAGATTTGCACTGCTGTGTTTGAGGTACCAGCAGGTAACTCGAAATGGAGAACTGAAGTTAATGAAACAGACGCATGGTCACATACATAGTAACAATTAGATTTCCAGAAAGCGCAAGTCATGAATGTTTCTCCCCTGATCCCACCACTTCATACTGAAAATAACAG